TTTTTTTTTCAGGCTTCTTCTTTCCAATTGCTTAAATTGGAAAATTTACTGCGATGATCATTCTTCACTTTCACTTTTATAGCCTTGCAGACCAACTTCAGTGTCAACCTGGAACGATTATCAGGGAAAGAAGCCATAACCATGTGTACAGCCGACATTTCGCAATTCGCAACTCGTTCCATAGTTACGAAGACTCCGCTGTAAGTGAAACAATTCGTGTGTGGCTTCTAAAAGGCCCTAGACAAGCCGAGTTTAATTGCTATATATCTCAAAATTCTATGTTCTCATTGTTAAACCTGCAGCATGCGAGTAGTTATGACTGATCACGAGTAGGATTGCATTTTCAAGGAGAGTATATGGCAAGTCAGTTTGTTTGCTCACATCAAGGTCGATCTTGATCGGGTTTCGCCCCCACCCCCAAGTTAGGTAAAAGGCCATTGCCTGATTTCAAACCGAAAAGGACTAGGTACGAGTCTGTAAATTATGGGATTAGCAACTATTGATCCACATAGTCATAAAGTGCAGATCAAGCTTTACAAAATCCCCAAGTTTGGTGTAAATAGACCCAATAGTAGGCAAGATACAGCCGTTTGAAAACGTCAAAATTTACAAAGAAATGTATAGCTATCCGGACGCTGCGAATTAAGAGACGCAAGTATTCCCAGAGCTAAATCTGTTGACCAATCACAGCCAACTAGTCCTAGACATGCAAATTATTATGCCGCGGGTTAATAATCTGAGAACTGTAAGTACATGTCGCGAAAGACAATGGCATTCTACACGATGGTCCGGATGACCGAACATTGCTTTGTTAATTTTGATGTTTTTAAATAGCTGTATCTCAGTCAAAACTAGCCTAATTAACACCAAACTAGGGGATTTTGTGAACCTCGGTGTGCTCTTTCTGACCACGTGGATCAATAGTTGCTAATCCCATAATTTACTGACTCGTACCTAGTCCTTTTCGGTTTGAAATCAGGCAATGGGAACCAACTTCGATCCTTTGCCTTGTCATTGAGGAGAAAGAAGGAAGACAAAGGAGAGAGAGCCCTGGATCGAGGTTGCATGGGAACAGGGTTGCAGTATTCTTATAATGGAGAATTGAAAATTGCCGTAATGAACATATTTTTAGAGGCAATTTTTCTTGTTGTTGTCCCACTTACAGTTAATCCTGTTGTTTTTCTTTTCAAGACTTCGTAAAGGGCATCAAAAGCTCTTTTGCTGGTACTTTTTAGTATTGCAGATAACTTTGTTTTGGTTCCAATGATGTTATACCGTTTTCTTTTACATCAATATGTCACTGGATTGATGAAAACTGTGTCAATACTTTGCACCAAATCATCCATATGCATTTTGATTTCACGACTCCTAAATAAGGGCCTTGCTCCAAGGGATAAAAAAAATAGAGTGAAGTAAGAAAAGGAAGATAAGAGAGTGGAGGAAAAAAAGACTGATATTCTTTTTAATTTTTATATCGTCTATTGTGAAGGATCCGTTGATGTCCAGTAAAAATTTATTTGTGGTGAAAAAATAATCGTGAGCTTCGTTGAAGCAACGGAAGCGCTTATTAGTGAATTGTCTACCATGTTACGTTTGGAATGAGCTTCCTTGAGTTCGTTTTTAGAAGATATATGTGATGAAAAGTCGAACTTTTTTTGAAAAATTGAGACACAGTCATTCCAAACGTGAGAGGATGTAATAGCTGACTTGCGTCTAAAACGCGTTTTAGTTGCATGATCTTAATAGAAACCGCCATCAATTCCTCAACTATTGGCTATTTCCGCTAAACTGCCAAGTGACAGTCATGTAATCTGC